TATGTGCCCTTGAATAGTAAAATTTCGATTATTTTTAATTCAGACACTGCCGAATAAAATTATTATCGAATGGCTTTTTGCAGAACACAATCAACTTTAAGCACGTGATAATTGTAACGTTGTTTCCAAAATATGTATAAGTGATTTTTTGTGGTTTTTGAAGTTAAATATTCTTTAGTTATAAATTAATATTTTTAATTTTGAAAATATTGAGAATACAATTTTAAATTCATATAATAACACATTCGAATAATATTTAACTATATATAAATGATAAAACAAACTGAAAAGACTGTACTGCTCGATTTCAAAATAAATTATTTGTAAAATTGGTTACCCATCGATTACTTCTGACTAATTTTGTATAAGAAATACGTACTTTGGTTTGATTAATTATTGTTGATCAGCATATTGTTGACCAATGATAAAAAACCAAATACATATTGAACACATTTTTGCTCAGCAAAAAAAAAGTAAGATTTACTTTATTTATACATATTTTACGAAATTCCTCGTTATTAATAAACAAGTAACAAGAATCTTCAATGTATTCAATATTGCGTTATAAGAAATTGTTAGTTTTTATATTTTGTCAATTTCATATAAAAAAAAATTAGCAACGGTTGTCAAAGAAAAATATGTATGTTTTCAATTAATGTAAATAATTCCCGTATAACTAATTAATATTAAAATATTCAATTGAATTATAAGCTCTTTAACTTGAAAAATAAGTCTAAATACCAAATTAACTATACTATATTATACTAGTAAATAGTATAGGACGCCTCAACCTGTTCTGGCACATTCTATAACTTCCGATCCATTAATTGTATTTTACTACTATCTTTTTAAAAAAATAGGTTGAAAAATAAATATTTTTAAATGCGTAATTTGTCAATTTTAAATTAAATGTGTACTTAAGATTTTCATATAAATTTATTGTCTCTAGTATACCCTATAAAACAATATTAAAGTTAAATTAGGATTAGTAATTTAAATAAAATACTTGTATTCATAAAATACATAATTTTTTTTTTTTGAAAATGACAAATTTTTTACGATATTGTAGTATTGGAATATTTTTTTAAATTTCTAAAATTGAGGGTTTTTTTCAATCTTTGGCGATGACAAGTTCAAATAGAAAAAAATCAGGTTCTTTTGTTGCATAAACCAACAATATAAGTGCAGTGAGAATTAAGTATAAAAATTAAGTTAAAAAATTATTCTTATTTTTACATAAATATATTTAAAACGTAGAAACTACATTTTTTTTGTTGACTGTGTGTTAACAACATTTTAAGTTTCCTTTTTAATATTGAGATTTGACTCTAAGAATTTCGACCCTAATCACTTTTTAAATATGGATCTTCCCTTACGCAGTTTTTGTACATCAAAATAAAAAATTTCGTCACTTTTAACTGAATAATCATTTTTTTTTTCATATTTTTAATGTTACACTTTAATACAATAGTGACTTTATTCACCATGTTATTTGTGTTTTTGCCGATAACTATCTCAATATTTTTTCTATTAGCTATAAGGTTTCTTCAAAATGCAAATACATAGAGGAATTTTACGATCTATAGGATCTTGAATACCTTGAAATATGCCGTTTATCTTCTTTAATAGTTTAATGACCGACGTGTTCCATGGTGTTCTTATGGAAAGTCTTCAACTCTTCCAATTTGTTAGCAGTATTAAAAAACTCGATTCTTCGCCTTAAATTTCAACTTATTTTAATAACTAATGATAAACGTTCATTTTCTGAAGAACCACTCGTGGTAATAAAACTGTATTATGATCGGTGTTGTATATATATATATATATTTATATATTTACAACGTAGAAACTACACCGTAAGAAATGATCTAAAAATTCCCAAAGTAATATGCTATATAGATTTTGTTTCTATTTAATGTTTAATTATTTCTTATAACTTAATTAACAGTTATCTATAAAATTGTATTACCTAGAAATATATACCAGCCATATAATAACATACGACAATTGTTTTTGTTGATTTTCGATTCTTAATCAGATATTAGTAAATTAGTACAGTCTCTCGGTATTTACTACGATTTTTTTCACAAGAACGTCATGTAAAACTAATATTTGAACAATCACGATGCAATAAGATATTTGTGATTGATTTGCTTAGCAAAACGAGTGGTAAAACCATTATAATTTAACAAACATGTCACTTAAATTTATAGCCGCAAGATATTAACCATTTGACTTTAGCTCGTTTATTTTATTGAATTAATTTATCAATGTAAATTAATCACAGATAAAATTACAAAATTAAAAAAATAAATTGTTAAATTAATTTAATTATTGTTCTTTTCTTCATTTATCCTATTTTGCTTATAGTAAATATTTAGAATTTTCAAAGTAATCCAATAATAAACAAAACTATTGTTTCAATTGAAATGAATAAAGAAAGTTTGCCTTATAGTATTTCAGTTAACAAAATTTCACTTAAATAAATATATAACTGATTTATTATTTTATTTACTATAATCGTAATACTTATAATATTAAACTTGAATTAATGTTTATGAATTCAACATGAATAGACTAATTTATTTATTTTAGGGTAAACATGTATTTATTTTTAGAAGGGAAAATATTATTGTTAACTTAAAAAGTAAATTATTTTTCTTTTAATATAATTGTAGTTATAAAAGCTCATAAAAAAATTTCTATTCCATGTTTCAACATGAATACATAATATTTTTTTTGCATTTATCGATACAAATTATCAGATTCTACTTACTAATTTTCCACTAAATATGCAAAAAGATTTCAGAATCAAGTTTAACTGATAGCATTACACCAAACATTAAAAAAAAAAATCTTTATTTTACATTTATTAGCGATCATATTCTCCAAGAAATTTATTGTTAAAATATCCGGTTATTTTAAATATTTTATTTTATATTTATTTAATTTTTTTTTTAATCTAACATATTTTATAGTGGGTTAGGAATAATACTGTTTGAAAGTAAGAAATATATTTCGTTATGTTTCATAAAATATATAAACACTAAAACTGTATTAAATTTAATCCTACGTCATCATATTATGATGAAAATAAAATCGTATCCTATACTTGTCTTCTTATTTCTAAATTGCCATTAAAATTTAAAAAGAAATACAATTTTTGTGTTATTATTATTGAAATTTAATCACAATTATTTATTTGCTCGAATAATTTTTAGTTTCAATTTAGTGCATATACTCTTTTAGCTTCGATGCGAAGCTGAGAAGGTATTGGTTTTACTATGATGTGTTTTTTTTTTTTTTTTTTTTTTTTTTT